TTTCCGCTCTATCTTGAGGGCGGATTTCTACTTGCCAGTACCCCGACGCTAGATCTAGTATTGAAAAGAACCGAGCCCCGTTGACGGCATCGAGTGTGATATCAATTCGTGGTAATGGGAAGCAATCTCGCTCAGTGACCGCGTTGAGCTTTCGATAGTCAACGCGCAGGCGAGGCGACCCGTTTTTCTTCTTGACCAACACGATTGGTGAAGCCCAAGGGGACGAAGATGGACGGATAATGTTGTTGCGGAGCATTTCTTCTAGCATTTATCCAACTGGGCCTGTTGGTGGATGGGGACTCGGCGGCAGGATTGGCGGATAGGGCGGTGACTGCTGGTGTCAATAGAATGCTGTAGCCAGTTCGTACGGCCCGGGGCGGCGCAATTCACGTCAAAAACATCAGCATATTCTGATAATATCGGTATCAACGATGTCCTTTGGTCGGGCGTTACCTGTGAGCGTGTCAGGAGAATGTCGAACCAATTGGACTGCATTTGGGTAGATGGCACGAGATGATTGCGGCCCACTGGACGCTTCTCTTGACTGTTCTTATTGGCATCAGCTGCCTCAGATGACTCCACTGCAATCTCGACCTGGGTACAGGATTCGATCTTCTTCGCTGATGTGAATGACACCGCTTTTCGTTGTACGTCGATGTAGGCACCGTGAGTAGTCAATAGGTCAATCCCCACTATTACATCCCAGCTGACTGGTGCCATCACGAACGTGTGTGTTAGCATCCTGCCTGCTAGCTCCAGCGTTAGGACGACCTTTCGTTGGGAGTGGACTCGAGCGCCATTGGCTGTCACTAGAACGAGCCCCGGGGTGGGAGTCCGTTGCATCCCTTTCGCCAGTTCGGTTCGCACTATAGAGCAGGTCGATCCAGTGTCGATCAACACCACCACAAGCTGGTCTCGAATGCGACTGGGAAGTGTAAAAGGCGACGGACCGGAGCATCAGGTAAGAAAAAACAGTGGTAACAAAATGTTGTCTGATCGCTTACCTGTTCGCGGTTTGGGTTGTATCTGGGGGTTGTGCCCACAACGTTGGGCTCGTCGACCGAACCGGGCGCAATACGGGCAGTCCTTCCGAGAGGTATTCCATTTTCGCTCCCGACCGCGAGCTGGGCGACCGGGGACCCTGAGATCGGGGCTTGGACGGGTACTTATGGATAAAGCATTGCAAGATACTCTCGCCTGCTCGACCATCTCGAAGCTGGTGGCGACCTCCGCCGCTTCGTCCAATGTCAGCTGTGGGCTACACAGTTATTGGACCCGAGCTTCAGGTCCATGGATGCCGGTGCGAAATTGATCCAACAATTTTTTTCGACCTCCTCCGCCGACACTCCCGGAAACGCTCGAAGCGCCAGTTCCTGTATCGCTCCGCGATAGTCCTGCACCGACTCGGACTCGGTCTGCTCACGCTCCAGGAAACGTCCAAGGTAGATGCCTGCGGCTGTGGTATCGCCGAATAGCCGCCTTAAGCGGCTCCATAACCTTTCGTGGTCAGTGTCTGGGAGTGGGCGGCAGCTGAGGAACCGTCTTACTGCGTTATCGGACAGATATCCTTTATTGAAAGACTGTAGCTCCGTCGCCGGCTGCGTGCGCAGATCATTCCTTATTCGTACATCCCACGACTCATAGTCGCTCCCGGGGAGAAGACATTCGGTTGACGGAGCTGGGATCGATCAGCTAGAACTAGGGGGCGTAACACGGGTGTGGCTGTTGTTG